TTTTTCCCTACGGTTGGGGGAAACCGGGGGGGGGGGGGGGGTCATCACGAAACTCATTTATTCATGGTTATAAAGCAGACGCATCCCAATCGACACATCAGTTGATATAACCGACGTTCGTGTTAACAAGCTATTATAGACAAAATTAAATGCACTTTGAAAACAAAACAAAACAAAGAAAAATCTAACACCGTTTCACATATGAGGATGAGTTCAATTTCTTCAAACTAGGCGACACGGTGATCAGCGAGCACCAGATGACCTGGGGGGTCGACTCCAAAGTTACCGTGCCAGGGAAACACTGGGTCCTGGCCCAACTTGTGATCACGGAGGAGGAGTTCCGCAGCGATTTTGAGATGACGACCACGTTTGACGGAGAGGTCAGTAAACAGTGAATAGTGAATAGAGGATAGTGAACAGTGGACAGTGAACAGTGAATAGTGAATATATTGCAATAAAAAAATTAAAATGAAAACAAGCTTTTAAACAAAGTATCATTTCTATTGAAGTCGAGATAAAACGCGCCCAGAAGTAGAAAAGAATTTAAAATTACTTAAAATGCATTACGCAAAGAGAGACTGTGCAGACGTGTAGATTAGCACCCCACACAGCGCAAAGGATTCGAACTGAACGTGGATGAAAGATGTTTTACTTCTTATGAATTTTTGTAAATATTTTCTGATTTTGGCATTGAAACTGTAATCTTTACATTATCAACACAATTAAGAATTATTTAATTATTTAAAAAAATCGTATACTTACAGCGGTGACTCAACTTTCAGACAAAAACACTGTCCACCCGCGTCCGTCGACCCAGTTTTCCAGCCATTCACCGGGTAAACACTACGCGAGAAAGGCTTAAGATGTCACGCGAGTAAACAAACGGATTACGGCTCAAAAAGATGGAAATGCGAGGAAAGAGAAAGTTTTTAAAAAAAATTAAAAGCCATTCGTGTATGTTGTATATCTTTTTTTTTTTTTTTTTTTAGCGCACATGCTGAATTTGAAAATGCCTTGATCAAAACCAATGAATGACACGTTCTAAATGGAAAACGCTTGTCGTAGAAGTCTTCCCGAATTGTTGCCTCCGTCGCCATCGTATACCTAAATCTCACGTCTGATTTCCAATTTTGAAAAAAAAAAAAAGCATTTTCAAAATTTCTAGTGAGCAGCTTTTATCTTAGTGAACCTAAATTAATTAATCAGTGTGCTAAACGATTAAAATTGTATACAAAGCAAGCGAGATAGGACGAGGAAGAGAGGGGAGGGGTGGTGATGTAATCTAATGAACACCAAAAACTGATAGAGTCGTCTATCCCTGTGGCACTACAGCCCATGCGTGGCTTTGGCCTACCTCACCACTTCCTTCCACTCAGGCCTAACTGATGCTTTTCCTTTCCGTGCTCGTATTCCCTGCTGCTGTAGATCTTTGTCCACATCATCCTCCCATCGAAGCTTAAGTCTGCCTTTGAGCCGTTTTTCCTATGGGGTTTTGGTGGTGCACCCTCTTCACTCCTCTGTGATTTGGCATTCTTTTTTAAAGTTTCCCGCCCAGAGTAGCCTGCCCTCTTTTTTTTTTTTACTTCTGCTGCTAGCTTGTGATCCTGACTATCACAATTCCTTGTTGGTTCGTATTCTCTTGTATAGTCGATTCTCATAAAATTTAGATATCATCAATATCGTTTCTGAATAAGAGTTTTTTCTCCTCCCCTCCCACCGCCTCTACCCCTCAGGTCGTGGTTCATTTGTTGAAAAGAGACAAAAGCATCGCCAACCTGATGGATGAAATGATGGTCTACAACGTCGTGCCTGTGCATAAAATAAAAGGACAGTACGAGGAATTCCGGATGAACGTCAGGAACATCTTCACGCCCAAGCTCGGCTTCGTCAATGACGCCCAGGGCCGACCCACGTTCAAGACCAAAGGGGAGTGCAAGTGCAGGATAGGCGTCGAGCAGGAGATCATCATCTCCGAGTTTCTGGGCGAGCCCCCGGAGGACAACGACCCGACGATTAAGTCGCTGGAGAAGGAGGCCGGCAAATGAGTAGACGACCGCGTTCGTTTAACTTCGCAAGCGGTGTGTTAAAATAGTTTGGGGGCTGAGTGTTAAAACATTTTATTGGCAAATTAATCGCAAAACATTGTTATAATGTATATTATAAAGCTGAGCAAATTAAGAACATAAAAAATGCTTTGACAGGAAAAAGTAATTATTTTTTTTTTACACAGCATGTATTTTGGACATGTATTCAGTTGTTCATTCCGTTACAATGTGTACTAGTTTTATCTATAAAATTTCAAATAAAGTTCTAGCACCGGGAGACATGATGAGTTTGTGTTTATTAATGTTTTTTCCTTAATTTATTTCCATCAAATGTTCCATGAAGTAGTCTTCCTGAGAGTTTTGTAAAATGTATGTTATTCATGTACAGTAATTCTCATAAATGGCACATTGTCAAGGGTATGAGGATCGCTGTTGTTAGCATGAATGCTGTTTGGGGCCGTGAGTTGGGTCATGAGAGTTATTATTGTGTCTGAATGATCATTGGATGACAGGAATAGAAGAATAAACAAGTGTGTGGGTACAAAGCGTCAGATAGAGAGAGAGAGAGAGAGAGAGAGAGAGAGGGGGAGGGAGAGGGAGAGAGGGGGGAGGGGGAGGGAGAGAGGGGGAGGGAGGGAGAGAGAGAGAGTTGATTAAGGAGATATGCATAAGACGCGTGTGAGTGATTGATCATTGGATGACAGGAATAGAAGAATAAACAAGTGTGTGGGTACAAAGCGTCAGATAGAGAGAGAGAGAGAGAGAGAGAGAGAGAGGGGGAGGGAGAGGGAGAGAGGGGGGAGGTGGAGGGAGAGAGGGGGAGGGAGGGAGAGAGAGAGAGTTGATTAAGGAGATATTCATAAGACGCTTGTGAGTGATGGCTAATGTGTTTTGGATAGACCGAGTAGTTTTAAGGAGATCAAGTAACCAGGTGAATCTGTGTGACGGGTCCACGTCATAAAATTAGAGCCCTAGTCATTCATAAAGTGTTCAAATATTCGGTGGCCTGGGTATTCGTTGAAAGACAGTGTTTTAGAGTACCATCGACAAACTTGGCCATTGATAGACAGTGTTGCAGAGTACCACCGACTCCAAAAAATCCAAATTTCATTACATCCTATAGGAGCCTTCCCAGGGCACCATGATGCCATATTTTCGCGCTGATTTAATCTTAAGGAAGCATTGGAAAGGGTTCTCCAACGGGAAAGGACAGAGGATAAGCCTCATGACTCATAAATAACTAATTATTTGTAAAAGGTTTGGACTGCGAATAAGTTCATTAATGAGATGAGACACACGCACAATGTGATTTAATTAAACAACAAGAAAATGTTATAATAAAGCTTTAAGAAAAAGTATTTTAAAACATAAAGGCTCCTGTAATTGAAAATCTTTGCAAGAAAATGAGTCAGTATTATAAGGCGATGAGTGAACTATAATAACTATTTGTAAAACATATTGATAGACGAGAGCAGTGGCGTAACTAGGGTTGGTGCCACCTGGGCCGAGCCTAATTTTTTTCTTTGTCGCTATCTTCCACCAGAAGAAACTCTGCAGTTGACGGAAAATGTCCCCCCCCCCACACACACACACAATATGAAGAAAAAAAGTGGTTCCAGGGGCTGAGTGCCCCTCCCCGCAACCCTTGCTACGCTTCTTGTCGTGAATTGTAGGTCAAAAACCGATCACATTATTGGTTAAAAAAGCCATTTATACCCACCACCTCCCTTGGTAGTTAGTTCTACGCAGCCAGCCAACTGTCTTGCTTATTCGTCTGTTAGTTTTATTTGTTTCTACTGCTAACCGCTTCGGGGTATACCTGGTGATTCTAATCTAACAAATCATTGTGTTTATTATGTAAGTAAAAATACATTTATGAAAATTTATTCCGAAATTTAATTTTAAAAAAAAAAGTAAAACAAAGATGGAAGTCGATTCATTCACACCATTTGGGGAATAGAGGGTGCTTAAGGAAAATGGTGAAAGCGTTCCAAGGAACAGGCCCCCCTTTTTGTGAGAACAGCCCCCCTTTTGGTGAGAACAGCCCAATTTTTGTGAGAACAGACCCCCTTTTTTGAGAACAGACTCACTTTTTTGTGAGAACAGACCCCCTTTTTGTGAGTACAGACCCCCTTTTTGTGAGAACAGACTCACTTTTTGTGAGAACACCCCCACTTTTTGTGAGTACAGCCCCACTTTGTGTGAGTACAGCCCCACTTTTTGTGAGTACAGCCCCACTTTTTGTGAGTACAGTCCCACTTTTTGTGAGAACAGGCCCACTTTTTGTGAGAACAGACCCACTTTTTGTGAGAACAGACCCCCTTTCTGTGATAGGCCCTTCCGCCAAAGACGCAGCCCGTGCACTGTTCAGGTGAATCTCCAACGGGTCTTAAATCCACGGACAGTGTCCCTGATTCGTGGGAAACACTTGAAGCGGATCATACAAGCTGGCATGGCAGAGTCACACTGTCGGAACACAATCCTCAGAGAATAAGTTCAACGCTCACGCCGAAAGAAAGCACAAGGCGAGAAAAAAGTAGAGTCGACTCAAATCCAACTTGGGACCCCCCCCCCCTTTCCCACCCCCGCACCCTCACCCGAAACCTCAGAGAATAAGTTCAACGCTCACGCCGAAAGAAAGCACAAGGCGAGAAAAAAGTAGAGTCGACTCAAATCCAACTTTGGACCCCCCCCCCCTTTCCCACCCCCGCACCCTCACCCGAAAAAACAACAACACAAACCTGTGTTCTACGTGTGGGCACAAAAAGGACGGGCAGGCCACCCGGGTACTCACTGTTGAATATAGACTCGGCCATCTTCGTGTGTGTCTTTCATTTTTATAGAATTACAAGAGACGTCAATTAGACTGTACCACTTTGCGCACCAACAAGCACCAACTTGATAAACATGCAAAAATTATTTTTTACGACCTTGACATGTTTTTTCCAGTTCGTGGTTAATTATTGATGATAGCAATGACATGGGGAACAACTATCTAAAGCATTGAAATCTCAACAGTCGACACTGACTAACAATAGTATAAGTCTAATGGTAAGACATTCACTAACATATTATGTGTCTCATGGTAAGACACTTAAACTAAAAATATAAAGACGACTAAATAACATGTCTCTAGGTTGAAACTTTAGGGAAAGTTTATGTTTTTTGTGGGCTTTGGAAAAGACTAAAATTCCCACTGAAACGTAATTCTCAACTCTTTGACCTAAATTACGTGAGAAAGCCTACATATTTTATTTCTTGCAACCATGGAGTAGGTATTTTTTAAATGTTTTATGACGAAGTTAACGAAGTAGTTTTAGAAAGAAAAAAATTGAGAATGAATCAAATGTCAAAGGTCAAAGACTGGTCTAGGAATGGGACGTCAATGCACAGACGGGTGTCACCGTCAAGATTTTGAAATACAAATATAGTCAAAGTGATGTGCTTGTGATGTGCTTGTGATGTGCTTGTGATGTGCTTGTGATGTGCGTGTGATGTGCGTGTGATCTGCTTGTGATGTGCTTGTGATGTGCTTGTGATGTGCTTGGGATGTTCCAGTGGAAAAAGCAAGCACCTATCAAGTTGTTTTTTTCTTTCATGAAATGATTGATTACAATTTTTTTTGTTGAATGATTATTTTCTCTTTCTGAACAGTTTCCGAGAGTTTGAATTCGCGCTCGCTCATCTAAGAAACAGTGCCTGAAAGCCTCACCGGGAAAACCCGTTAACGACATCGCATCACCGGGTCAAAGGTCGACGAACGCCTCTTCGAGTCAGCCATGAACAACATCGACTTAACGCACCTGGTGAAGAGCTATTTCGAGCCTCAACTGGAAGATGAGGTCAGGAAACGTGCGGATAAGAAGAACCCTGTGATCGACTGGTCCCTCATGACCAAGACGTTCGGTAAATCAAACTTGGGGTCGATTTCATTGACAGTTATTCAATTTTACTTACGGCATATACAAAAAATATGGTTCATTTCATGACCTGACAAAAATTGTCGCCCTTCCATCTCATAGAGGCGAGGTTGGGGGTGGGGGTGGGGGTGGGAGGTGGGGGTGGTTCGATGAACATGGCGAATCTATGAAGCCCAAGTAAGGTGGTTACATACGGGGAATCAGTTTACCAGTGAGCAGATCCCTTTCAACAAAGCTGGTGAGGCGAATACGACGTGGCTTTGCCACACCAGCGTCGCAGGACATTAAACTCTGAACTCCGACTCCACTTAACCTCTATGTGGCGTACTAGAAATCAAGATTTGAAACAGCGACATTTACAGCAATGGAATTTTGGGTGGGGGGTGGGGGGTCGGGGGGGGGGCAGTGAATATTGGCTTCCTAGTCCAGATTATGTCCCTTAAAGAAAGGTAACATTTTCTACAAAGTCATAGGTGCTTGGAGTGGATAGGTCAATTCGAGGTCATACGGTCATAACATGGTCATATTCAGATCCACGTGGAGTCATGAATAGCATGGCCAGATCCAGATGGAGTCTATGATAGCATAGCGTGATTCAGCTGGCGGCTGGAGCCATGTTGAATAGCATGGCAAGATGCAGATGGAGCCAATGGATGACCTGGTCGGATTCAGATGGAGTCATAGATACCTAGCAAGCTCATATGAAGAATGTGGACATGGAAAATATCATAACAAAAAATAAAAGATGACAAAAAAAAAACTGGCATCATTTTCCGGATCATTTACTATACCCCCCCCCCCTTTTAGAATCAGCAGTGCCAAAACTAACATTTCCGCAAAGACAGAAGAGGCCCCCCCCCCCCCACCATTTTCAACAGTAGTATTGAACGATTCATGTGCTAGTAACATCAAGGGGGTGGGGGCATGAGAAGCCGATGAGCCAGTAGATATTACTCAATGGCCTGATCGACAAAAACGAGCTGAGTTGTCAAAGTAACCCCAGTGATTGACCCGGACTGTCTGTAGGGCTAGTATTTCATCCAGCGGGCTCAACAATTTATATCAATTCCGTATTAAGTGTTTTGTATCTTTTAGCTGGTAGGGTTTGTTGACGGAAATTCTAAATTCTTTTATTTTTAGTACGTATCAGGTCCAAACGCCTTTCCTAAGTCTAAGTTTTTTCCTTATAGATGGTTTACCTCAAGTCTAAATTCTTTTATTTTACTACATATCAGGTCCAACGGTTTACTTTAATTTTAAATTATTTTATTTGATTACATATCAGTTCCAACGGTTGACCTCAAGTCTAAATTCTCATATTTCACTACCAATCAGGTCCAACGGTTTACCTAAAGTCCAAAGAGACACCCAAGCCCAAAATGAACATTCTGTTCAGCGCCAACTTTGAAAACACGACCCCTAAACCCCAAGTGTACACCTTGAAGACCGACCGGAAGACCCAGGCGGTCACCGACATCATGTTCAAGAAGAGCTACACCGTCGGCGGAGAAATAGAAGCCACCGTCGGCATGCCAGTGGATGCCGGGGGATTGCTCAAGGCTGACTTTAGTAGAGTGAGCGGTGAGTACCGCCGGCGCCAATAGTTCTTTTATTACTTTTAGTGACTTTTATTAATTGGCCTCTTCTACATGGGTCGTGGAGGGCAGGGGGGGAGAGGGGCAGTGTATTGTTTAGAATTTAAATTGATTTCTCAGTTTTTAGAAGTTATATTCAAGCATGATGTTGTTAATAAAAAAAATAATTTAAAAAGTGGACAAATAAAAAATAAATAAAAATCTCAAAAAATCATTTGATGTTCAGCTCTGCAGTTTTAAAATCGCTTAAATATTAACTTAGCTTTTTTCGTGGGTGGCTGGAAAAATATCCGGACGGCTAATTGATCCACTTACTTTCAACCTATCGAGCTGAAACTTGGCACATAGACAATGAAAACACATTCTTTCACATTTGTCATCCCCACTTGAAGGCATGTTTAGTCAAATTTTCAGCCCCCACCCCCATTGCTCAATATGACATTTCATAATGGATTTCTACGAAAAACTTTCTTTTTAGGGGTTGTTTAATTTCTACACAACTTGAGACCCGCCAGCAAACAGCCCACGGTTCTCAAGCCTTTTTTTTTTGAATATTATAAATATAAAATTACGGTTTTTACCTTTCAGATCTAGAACAAATATGTGAAGAGCATATATTAGATATGATTCGGCAATTTTATGTTATGGTTAGAAATAATTAGCGAGTTATTATTTGTTCACATCATACGATCAGAGCCGTCACGTGGGGACCTTTGACCCCTGTGAATGCGAACTTTTTATAACGGGAAAAAATATTTAAAAGAAAGTAATTTAAATTGTCGTGAAGTGGCAAAATATTATTTATTGCCATTATTTCATAGAATATCACTACTACCTGTCCCATTGTCTTGTATCACCACCTGTCCCATTTTCTTGTATTACCACCTGTCCCATTTTCTAGTATCACCACCTGTCCCATTTTCTTGTATCACCACCTGTCCCTTTTTCTAGTATCACCACCTGTCCCATTTTCTAGTATCACCACCTGTCCCATTTCTTGTATCACCACCTGTCCCATTTTCTTGTATCACCACCTGTCCCTTTTTCTAGTATCACCACCTGTCCCATTTTCTTATATCACCATTAGTCCCATTTTCTTATATCACCCTCTTCCCATTTCCTCGTATCACCACCTGTCCCATTTTCTTGTATCACCACCTGTCCCTTTTCTTGTATCACCAACCGTCCCATTTTCTTATATCACCATTAGTCCCATTTTCTTATATCACCCTCTGTCACATTTCCTCGTATCACCACCTGTCCCATTTTCTTGTATCACCACCTGTCCCTTTTCTTGTATCACCAACCGTCCCATTTTCTTATATCACCATTAGTCCCATTTTCTTATATCACCCTCTGTCCCATTTCCTCGTATCACCACCTGTCCCATTTTCTTGCGGCTCTCAGGAATGTTTAAAAAAGTTATGCACGTTGTGTGTGAGAGCGTTGGCCTAAATTCTCGTGGTTGACGTTGCATACAAACGTTTTCAATTGTTTGTTCCAAACATCGTCTCTCTATAATATAGAATGGTATCCCCAGTTGACTTCAAAATCGGAGAAGCCCTGTTCCAAACTTAGACGGAGCTACAACAAGCCTCTAGCGGACCTGCAGTTCTTGCAATGCTGAATCCTTGCATCTTATGAAGTTTTGCTTTGAAATCCTTGCAGGCAACAGGGTGTACAACGAGCAAGAGCTGACGTGGGGGGTGGACAGCGAGATCACCGTGGAGCCCGGACACTGTGTGAGGGCCGAGCTGGTGGTCAAAGAGTCGGACTTCAGCGGAGAGTTTGAGGAGGTGGTCACATTTGATGGAGATGTAAGTTTTAAAAAATAGCATTATATATATATATATATTTTAAAAAAGAACATTATAATGTAATATAGACAGAAATAAGTAACTCAATCAGTATCATTATTAAAATGTCTCCGTAGAGATGTAAAACAAACCTGGCCGCACTTGTTCCACAATCTATTTTTAGCACATAGCAGATCGTACAATGTGTCGCCGTGACGACATCCGGGCGTAATATTATATGTTGTAGATTTATAGGAGCGTTTCATTTGGCGTGATACAAAACCAAACTTTTTCACTTGTAATGTTCTTCGCATCTGAGTTCTTATATCTCGGTTAGGTCATAGTATTTCCTCAACTTGATTGCAATTTTTTTTATGAATATCTTTAGCTAACTTGCTCGTTGATACAGCTTTTTTTTTTTTTTTTGTTTTTTTTGTATTTTTGTACAGCTTGATGAAACGAATGGCTTGGTTATCATGGGCGCCCACAGGGGGGGGGGGGGCAAGGGAGGCACTTGCCTCCCCCTGGATTGATTGGATAAAAAAAATTTAGACAAAAAATAGACAAAAAATGTATTAAAGTAAAGAGAAAATAAAGAGAAAGTAACTAAGCTGATGTCCTGTCCGTTCGTTCACCATACAAATACGCTTACAGTAAATTAAAACTATGTTAAAACATTGCTAAACAAATTTTGCGCCCCCCCCCCTGGAAAGTAATCAATTTTTTTGCCCCCTCCCCCACCCCCCCTAGAAAGTTTTCTGCCGGCGCCCATGTTTGTTATATAGCTTTTTTGAAATGGCTGGCTCTGTTGTATTTTTAAAGGTTTAAAAAAAAAATTATTTGCTTTAATTTTGTAAATTTCCAGTGCGCTTCTTTGATCACTTTTCTTCTAACTCGTAATATTTTTCTACACCAGGTCGCCATCTCCTACTACCACAAGAAAGAAAAGTACATCGTTGAGACGCTCGAGGACAGCGTGGCTAAGATCTTCGTCACCAAGCACGGGTTTGGGACCGATATCAAGGGCCGGCCAACGTTCAACATCAGGGGGGTCTGCAAGTGTAAGTACGGCATGGAGCAGTTCATCAATCTCATCGAGAGGGAAGGACCCTGTGATAAGATCATCACTGGTCTTCAAGACTACGACCCTTCTTCCAGCAGAAACGTGTTCCAGACCTGAGGGAACATAAACCTGAGTGGACTAATGAGGAATGGAAAAGTGTAAATATCAGAGAAACAGAATAGTGTAAATAGCATATGAAAAGAATAGTGTAAACAACAGAGGAATAGAATAGTCTAAATAACAAGGGGATAGAATAGTGTGAATAACAGAGGAACAGAATAGTGTAAATAACAGAGGAATAGTAGAGTAGCGTGGAGTTCGACTGAGTAATTATGTTTTAGTTCATTTGTTGACATGTGTTTTATTAAAACAATTCAGATCGAGACAAATTTTTAATACATGTCTAAATTATGTGTTTCATTACAACGAGGTCGATAATTTTTTGAAAAAAAAATCTATTGCGTTGCCAATGACAGGATGTGATGTGTGCGTGCAGAGAAGGAGAGACGATGAGGCTGTTGTGTTAGTGGATCAGATGTGAGATGTTTGTGAAAAGCTGGAGAGATGTTGATGATGATGTCATTAGTGTAAGGATCGGGATGTGAAATGTGTGTGCAGAGCAGGAGAGACGTTGAAGCTGAAGGTGTCATTCCCCAATATCCATTAAAAAAATAGTGTTATATGAGGAGAACTGGGGTTCAGGTTGAATCAGATGAAATACAAAGTACAAGGGGAAAGAAAAAACTATTTTAAAAACGCCGAAGCAAAACAAACAAAAAAAACGTGTTGGCAAGAAGCCTTCGCCAGCGAACAGTACAAAGGCCAACAAATTTAAATAAAATAAATGATGAAAACAAAGCTTAAAGGTCGTTTCCTAGAGAACTGCAAGAGGATGATGGATGATAGATGATAACAAAATATAGTGTTGGCATTTTCCATATCCTAGAGGCGATGTTGTTCTCTTTTGTGTGAAACTCATCGAGATTTAGGTGCGGCCGAAGCTAGAGTGGCTTGTGCAGCCGAGCCTTGAGTGGCTTGTGCGGCCAATCCTAGAGTGGCTTGTGCGGCCAATCCTAGAGTGGCTTGTGCGGCCGAGCCTTGAGTGGCTTGTGCGGCCGATCCTAGAGTGGCTTGTGCGGCCGATCTTAGAGTGGCTGGTGCGGCCGATCCTAGAGTGGCTTGAGCGGCCGAGCCTTGAATGGCTTGTGCGGCCGATCCTAAAGCGGCTTGTGCGGCCGATCTCAGCAAGAGTGGCTTGTGCGGTTGATCCTAAAGCGGCTAGTGCGGCCGATCCTGGAGTGGCTTGTGCGGCCGATCCTATAGAGTGTCAGGATCTTGTTNAGCCTTGAGTGGCTTGTGCGGCCAATCCTAGAGTGGCTTGTGCGGCCAATCCTAGAGTGGCTTGTGCGGCCGATCCTAGAGTGGCTTGTGCGGCCGATCTTAGAGTGGCTGGTGCGGCCGATCCTAGAGTGGCTTGAGCGGCCGAGCCTTGAATGGCTTGTGCGGCCGATCCTAAAGCGGCTTGTGCGGCCGATCTCAGCAAGAGTGGCTTGTGCGGTTGATCCTAAAGCGGCTAGTGCGGCCGATCCTGGAGTGGCTTGTGCGGCCGATCCTATAGAGTGTCAGGATCTTGTTATAATGCTACCTTGTAACAAAGACACATAGATGTATAAATAAGTTGTATGCATGCACACGTGTTTCATTACGAGACTGGGCGGCTGTCGTTGAACGGATGGGCTACTCTAGAAAACAAACGGTCGAGCATGGTATATATATAAGAACAATTCAGGACACACTAAATGTTACTTAAATTACTTTTAAAATCTTTTGTAGATAAACAACAACCCCAGTTATTGATTGACCAACGTAGCCGATGAGCAAACTAACTGCCTGGTATAATGCTGGGATGATGGGAGGTGGGCTGAATGACGGTATAATAAGAAATAAGGATTCGTCTAAAAAAAAAAAAGGATTTAATCTTCTTGCGGCTGCACAGACATAATGAGGACCTTATTTGATGTACTCAAAGAAAAAAATAAATTTATATAAAGGAAAGATTATTAAATTGAATCACAATTTCCGAAATCCCATCGGGCCTAAACAATCAAGATAATCTCCAATAATAAACCCACACAAAAGATGGGTCCAATGCTGAAGACCGAGATTTTTTAGTTTAAAAAAAAAAATAACAACAAGATAAATGTGTATATCATTGAAATCCGACAGGTCAAATATAAGATGACATAAGATTATTTTCATCGATCCGAATAATTGGAAATGTGTTTTGATAACAAGTCAAATATTCATCTTCAGAACATGCTAGGGATAAACATTCTGATTTAAGGTATTAACAAAATTGGAACCAGAACACTTTAAACGCAAGGCATTGAGAGTATTTATGTTTCACAAAATCCTCACTTAATTAATGATAGTATTGGCTTTGAGAGTGATTTAATTTTATTAGTATTTATAATACCGCTATGCAAAGATGCTTTTCTTTGAGCTTTACACCAATGAAACTGGAAGCAAATTCAACAAAAACAAGAAATATAAAGAAAATTCTATGTGAGGAATAATTCGTTATTGACTAACATAAGCTAGTAAAGAGCGCGATAAAGATTTAAATAAAATGAAAAAAAATAATAATAAAAGATTGATTTTGTTAAACAATCCTGCCAGCAGAGACCCTTTTGTCTATCGACTGTTCACCAGATTTGCTTACAGTATTACATACACACAGGAATGTTATCTTGACAACATGACGTTCAAACAAACGCGATGAGTGAGAGACGGGTGGGGGGGGGAGGGATACGTCAATCACAATGTGTAGAGAGTATTATACGTGAAAGAATTCGGGAGGGGGTGTTTGGGGAGGGGGGGGGGGTGGAGATAAATCAAGCTGTAAATATTATGTCCCTTTTGTCCACTGATAACATTGTAGCGATTGCATTCAAGTTGTGTGAGTAGGACATTAAGAACATGGTCAATGTGTAGAGAGTATTATACGTGAAAGAATTCGGGAGGGGGTGTTTGGGGAGGGGGGGGGAGTGGAGATAAATCAAGCTGTAAATATTATGTCCCTTTTGTCCACTGATAACATTGTAGCGATTGCATTCAAGTTGTGTGAGTAGAACATTAAGAACATGGAGGGCATGGGGTATGAACGAAACAAAAACAACAACAATACAACGCAGAAAGCCTACTTCCACGAAGAGGACGAAATCGAACGACAAAAGCTCATCAACAGTGCCTTTAAGGCGAGTCTGTCCCTGTTTCAGTATCAATACCATGTGCACATCTCGTGTTTACAGGCACCCCACACACGGTGTACAGGTTGGGGACCACTGTTAAGTCTATGGCATATGACACACACACACACGTTCAAGTCTCCCCATATCGCTCAGAAGTCGGTCGTTTAGTTTTGTGTACGAGACACAGCAACACAAAGTACACGAAATGCTGAAATTTAAATCATACACACTGCACTTTGTGCATTATTCTAGAGTTAGATTGAACCAGACACGGTGATATGCATGATAACAGTGTGACAGGACATTGAAGCGGACACAGTAAAAAATGTACATGATAGAGTCAGGTTCAACCTGACACAGTAAAAACATGTACATGATGATAGGGTGAGATTCAACCTGTCACAGTGAAAACATGTACATGATAGGGTGAAATTCAACCATACTCAGTGAAAACATGTACATGATGATAGGGTGAGATTGAATCTCACACAGTTAAACATGTACATGATAGGGTGAGATTCAACCAGACACAGTTAAACATGTACATGATATAGTGAGATTCAACCAGACACAGTGAACATGTACATGATATAGTGAGATTCAACGAGACACAGTGAAAGCATGTACATGATATTGTGAGATTCAACGAGACACAGTGAAAGCATGTACATGATATAGTGAGATTCAACCAGACACAGTGAAACATGTACATGATATAGTGAGATTCAACCAGACACAGTGAAACATGTACATGATATAGTGAGATTCAACCAAACACAGTGAAAGCATGTACATGATATAGTGAGATTCAACGAGACACAGTGAAAGCATGTACATGATATAGTGAGATTCAACCAGACACAGTGAAAGCATGTAGATGATATAGTGAGATTCAACCAGACACAGTGAAAGCATGTACATGATATAGTGAGATTCAACCAGACACAGTGAAAGCATGTACATGATATAGTGAGATTCAACCAGACACAGTGAAAGCATGTACATGATATAGTGAGATTCAACCAGACACAGTGAAATCATGCACATGATATAGTGAGATTCAACCAGACACAGTGAAAGCATGTACATGATATAGTGAGATTCAACCAGACACAGTGAAAGCATGCACATGATATAGTGAGATTCAACCAGACACAGTGAAAGCATGTACATGACATAGTGAGATTCAACGAGACACAGTGAAAGCATGTACATGATATAGTGAGATTCAACGAGACACAGTGAAAGCATGTACATGATATAGTGAGATCCAACCAGACACAGTGAAAGCATGTACATGATATAGTGAGATCCAACCAGACACAGTGAAAGCATGTACATGATATAGTGAGATCCAACCAGACACAGTGAAAGTATGCACATGATATAGTGAGATTCAACCAGACACAGTGAAAGCATGCACATGATATAGTGAGATTCAACCAGACACAGTGAAAGCATGTACATGATATATTGAGATTCAACCAGACACAGTGAAAGCATGTAGATGATATAGTGAGATTCAACCAGACACAGTGAAAGCATGTAGATGATATAGTGAGATTCAACCAGACACAGTGAAAGCATGTACATGTTATAGTGAGATTCAACCAGACACAGTGAAAGCATATACAAGATATAGTGAGATTCAACCAGACACAGTGAAAGCATGTACATGATATAGTGAGATCCAACCAGACACAGTGAAAGCATGTACATGATATAGTGAGATTCAACCAGACACAGTGAAAGCATGTACATGATATAGTGAGATTCAACGAGACACAGTGAAAGCATGCACGTTAGGGGTGAATCTAAAAACGTTTCCCCTCCTAATCTAGGTGACCAAATGAATAGTAGGGGAGGGGGGGGGGAGGGTTCGGTAGGGGTTTACAAGACAAACTCCCATTTTAAGTTACAGAAAATAATGAATCATTGCTCGTTACAAGTAACACAGAATTTTTAGCCATTTCATTTGTTAACAGGACAGTTTAATTTTTTTTTTAAAGGCAACCATATAATTTGTTTTAAGCTATTGCCGCCCAACTTTAGTCAGGCTAAAAAAAAATAAAAAAGATCTTAAAAATTAAACATTTAAACGACCACCATATTGTTTTAGCTATAATACCGCCCCTTCTACGTTTAACGTTGTGCTAGCGACGTTGTCTTGATCGAC